AAACTACACAGAGCCCAAGCCGGGGGGTGTGAGGTGTCAGTGTCACCCACTGAGTCACCACGTAAACTACACAGAGCCCAAGCCGGTGTCGATTCTACACAGAACCATAAATCAGGCTTATCCCACACTTGTAAATCTGGGGGGAACGTGTCCCACCCAATATTTAATTTGGCTTTATTCATCCCCCAATGGATGAAGAGCTGGAATATCACCTTAGATAACAGAAATTCAGCTAAGGGTCTGGTCAGTGGCGTAGGACAGAGTGTGAGATTGGGGGGGGGCACAACTTAACACTTTACAAAAGTCTGCTTATTGGGGGATAAATGAAGGCAAATTAAATATTGTCTGTTGTAATGATTGTATTAGGACTGTCACTGTTGATTGTCAATAATCAAGTAATCTACCAAATACTCTGACGATTCATTGTGTAATCACTTATACCCATCCATCCATTCATTTTCTGATATAACTTATCCTATTCAGGGTTGTGGGGGGTCCATAGCCTATCCTGGAGGCTACGGGTGCAAGGCAGGGAACAATCCAGGATGGGACACCAACCCATCACAGGGCACACTCACACACATATACACACACACCTATGGGCAACCTGGTAACTCCAGTTAACCTCAGCATGTTTTTGGACTGTGGGGGGGAAACTGAAGTACCCAGAGGAAACCCCACAATGACACAGGGAGAACTCTGGTAGAAACTTGAACAGAAGTTCGAGAGGTCAGTGGCAGCACGGTGGTGCAGGGGTTAGCAGTGCTGCCATGCACCACTGGGACTTGGGTTTGAGTCTCATATTATATTATATTATATTATATTATATTATAAAGTAAAGGTGACAACTCTATACTGTGTTGTCTTTTCCTTAGAATAAAAGAAGCGTTCACCCAGATCAAAGATCCTGATCCAGACCAGGTAGGTGTCCAAGATACATCTGCCCCTCTGCCTGGTGTCCTGGGGCCTGTTTCTCTACATCAGTCTGACCATCTTCCCTCAGATTATTATACAGAATTGTGTCTGTAGCAGATCTGTGTCCCTTGTGCTCTTCCTCCTTCCCTGTAAGTGTGGAGTCTGTTGAGGTAGAGGAAGAGCCCTTATTATGACTCCAGCACACAGGAACATGTCAGTACATTCTCCATGGTCACGGGCCCCTGCTGTTAAACATGGTAGGGAAGGCGCTCATATGATACTGTAACACAGACAGAGGCTGATTTAACAAAAGAAATGTTTATTGGTGAAGACCATCTAAACACACTCTCTGGTACGCAGATCATCCACAGCCTCATACCCAGAGCCAAATCTGAACAGCCCTTCTTCACGTCTGAGTCAGTCACTTCCCCCCCACTCCACCCCCCTAGTCACAGCAATACACAGCCTAATACACTTGCCTTCCCCTGACTGGCAGAGAGCAGGGTGATTGGCAGCTGCATTCCTTGCACCAGGACACTACTTTACACCATACCCCCCTTTTGTGTGGTGGACAAGCAGCCAAAGACAGGGTATGAAAGCAGCAAATTCTTTATTAGGTTATCTGATGCATCAAATAAGCCGTGACACTGTGTTTGCATACACAAGTGGAGGATAGCTGAGGCTGCTGGGATTGCTGCACTGTGAGGGAGTGGTGTAGACGCTTGTGTGCGGTTGTTTGGAATTATTTGGAAGCATATTTGAGTGTTTGTGCGCCAGTATGGTTACGTGGGTGGTTGTGGTTACATTTTTTTTTCTTTTTCGGTGGGCGTGAGTGCTTGTCTGTACTTTGTAATGAAGGCAAATTAAATATTGTCTGTTGTAATAATTGTATTAGGACTGTCACTGTTATCGACAGCTGCTATCGACAGCTGCGGGTGTTGCGCGAGTGGCGTTTCTGTCCACGTACCTTCACATCAAACACCTGCGGGATAATATTATCTAACGTCGGTAACATTAACTTGGAAAGGACAGTTGCTCCTGAGCTTTGCTCGGTTGTCAGTCGGTGCCGGGAGGACATTTTCCACTTCTTTTCCCGCTCCGGCAGTAGCCTGCTTTGAGAGGGTTTTTTGCGGTTTTTTGGCCTCCCTAGAGCAACTTCGCTTTAGTTTAGCTAAACGTGGTTCAGCAGGAAGTTAGTTTCTGGTAAGTAATTGTTAATTTGGTTATTTTAAAAGTTTAATTTCAAGGGTTGTTATCTCTGACCATATCGGATAATTTAAAAAGTTCCGCTTTAATGCAACTGTTTATTTAGTGTTTTATTGTACTTGGAATTTTATTAGAACATAAGAACATAAGAACTATACAAACGAGAGGAGGCCATTCGGCCCATCGAGCTCGCTTGGGGAGAACTTAACTAATAGCTCAGAGTT